AATGTGCAACAAAATGAATATATCTCAACATAATAAAGGCTCCATGTGACAAACCAATAGCCAACATTATGTTAAATGGGGAGAAACTCATAGCGTTTCCCCTAAAATTGTGGACAAGAAAAAGAGATGAACTTTCTGGAAGTCTTAGCTAGAGCAGTAAGACAAGAGGGGCAAAGAAGAGGGAATGAACTAGGAAAGGAAGAAATGAAAGTGTCTCTGTTTCCAGATGACACGATTCTATACCCAGGAGATCCTAAAGAAAGTGCCTAGGACTTACACAGACTTTTTTAGAACTCTTTAAACTGGTAAGAACTTTTAGGAACATGGCAGGATACAAAATCAACACAAAAACCCAGCAGTTTTCCTATGTGCATACAAGTGTGTGTGTGTGTGTGTGTGTGTGTGTGTGTGTGTGTGTGTGTGTGAAAATCTTATTCACAACAGCCTAAAGCATATCTTAGATTAAACCTAACCAGGAATGTGAAAGAACCTTCACAACGAAAGCTTTCCAACACTGAAGAAAGAAATTGAGAAAGACACTAGCAGAAAGACTCCTTAGGCTCATAAATTGTAAGAATTAATACTGTGAAAATGAACGTCCTCCCCACACCAATCTGCAGATTCAATGAAATCCCAATCAAAATTCATTCTTCATAGGAATAGAAAAATCAGTATTTAAATCATGTTTAAGCATAAAACATGAAGCATACCCAAGAAAGTTAAAGCTATTCTCAACAAAAAGATTATTCCTGGAGGTGTCAGCATCTGACTTGAAGATAGACTACAGAACTCTAAGAATAAGAAACAACACAGAAGGCCAGGTGGTGGTGCATGCCTTTAATTCCAGAACTCAGGAGGCAGAGGCAAGAGGATCTCTGTGAGTTCGAGGCCAGCCTGGTCTACAAAGTGGGTTCAAGGACAGTTAGAGCTGTTACACAGAGAAACCCAGTCTGGAAAAAAACAAACCAACCCACTCCCCTCACCCCTGAAAAAAAAAAGAAAAGAAATAGAAAAACAAAACAGCACAGTGTAGATCAATGGAATAATCCAGAGGGTCTAGAGACAAGACCTGCAGCTGCAGCCACCTGTGATGTTGGACAAAGAAGCCAAAACTACACATTGAAGAAAAGACAGTGTCTTCAACAAACGGTGCTGGGAAAATTGGATGTCTGCAAGCGAAAGAATAATACTTCCCTCTCACCCTGCATACAACTCAACTCCAAACACAAGGAAACAGCTGGAGGAAAGGCAGGGAGGACATGTGGAGACACAGGACTTTCTGACAAGGGCTCCGATTGCTCAGCAAAGAAGGCGAACTGGGTGTCATGAAACCCAAAGGTTTTCATCCAGCACAGGAAACGGCCAATTGGGCGAGAGATTGCCTCCAGAATGGGCGAAAACTCTCTGCTAACTATTCATCTGACAGAGGACCAGTGTTTGGAGTATGCAAAGAACTCAAGAAACTAACCTTCAAGAAAATGAACAACCCAATTTAAAAACAAAACAAAACAAAACAAAACAAAAGAACAGGTTATAAAACTGTCTTCAAGAGAAGAAAGACAAACTACCCATAAAACATTTAAAAGTGTTCAACATCATTGGCTCCTAGGGAAATGCACATTAAAACTACTTGGAGCTTCCGTCTTACCCAGGACAGAATGGCTGTCAAGAAAACAAGTGACGGGCTGGAGAGTTGGCTTAGCGGTCAAGAGCATCTGTCGCTCTTGCAGAGGATCCAAGTTGGATTTCTAGCACCCCCATGGCAGCGCTCAGGCATCTGTAACTCTGTTTCCAAGGGATCTGATGCCCTCTTCTGGTTTCTGTGGGTCCTGTATGCATGTGGGCACACATGCAGGCAAAACACTCATACATGCAAAACAATAAATAAATCTTAAAAAATGTTAAATGGCAAGGTATAGTGTCGAGGGAGATTATTAACCACTGTTGGTGGGAGTTGAAATCAGTGCAGCCATTATGGAAGTCATGCGGAGGTTTCAAAAAAGCTACAAGTAGATCTATCACATGATTCAGCTGTACAACTCCTGGACATATACCCAGAAGGACTCCATAGCTTACTATAGAGATAGTTCCGCATCATGTTCTTTACTATTCTATTCACAATACCTAGGAGGTGGTGTCAGCCCAGATCTACCTGGAGGATGGGGAGAAACTGGGGACCTCTTACTTTTTATTTCATTTATTTATTTCTTGTGTGTGCATGTAAGCGTGCACACATGCATGTGTGTATTTACAAACATGTACACAGGACATGTGTGGAGGCCAGAGAACAATGTCCATGATTAGACTCTCTGCTTCCCCCATGTGGGTTCTGGACATGCAACCCAGTTACCTGACCTGCTGAGTCCTCTGCTGGCCTTGAGTGGCTTCCTAAAAAGTTAAACATACCTACCAGTGTTTCAGAAGTTCTAATTTTAGGCACACGTCCCAAAGGAACAAAAAGTTCCCTATACAGATTTGTACATGAGTGCCTCATGGAGACAATTCTCCAAAACCAGAAAACAACAACATCGACAAAAATGTCCTCCTCTGGTGAACGTGTGGTGTCGTATACTGGTACAACGGAATATTATTCAGTCTAAAAGGAATGAGCTGAGACATGGTACAATATGGCTAGATCTCAAACACAAAACAAGATAAGTAATCCAGACACAAAAGCCTGCAGGCTCTATCACGTCTTTCAGAAGTGTCTATGAAAGGTTAATGAGCAAGTTCCAAAGCTGACTAGTCTTTGTCCAGGCCGGAAGGATGGAGTAGCTGAATGGGCAAAAGGGGGCTTTCTGATGAGGTGGACATATTCTCAAATTACATTAGAAGAACAATTAAGGGACTTCGTAAAGCTACCCCCAACACACTAGAGCATATAGTTGTAATGAATTTTAAGGTATATAAATTATACCACACACACACACACACACACACACACACACACACACACACACACGGTGCTTAAAAACCAATAGGCTCTCTCCCAAATGCCTATGGTCTATGAGTGAGTGATGCAATAAATTAGGAACTATTTCAGAGTATTTAGGATGGTGTTCTGTGTTTGACTCTGTTGGACCTCCGGCCAGCCACCTCACAGCTGACTGTCACACACAACTTACCCTCAGTTTCCCAGCTGCTTGGAGGCTCTGAATTTGTTTTTAAAAATGTAATTATTTTTATTTTTTGTGTGTGTATGAATGTTTTGCCTACATGTATGTATGTGTTCCACGTGCCTGCCCAGGGCCCACGGAGGGCAGAAAAGGGCATCCAGTCCCCTGGAACTGAAGCTATGGACGGCTATATGTCACCATCATCAGGGTTCTGGAATGGTACCTCTGTGCTCTGCAAGAGCGAAAGTGCTCTTAATGGCCCAGCCATTGCTCCAGCCTCTAATTCCCTTTGAACCCCACCCCCAACCCCCACCCGGCTGTTCCTCTCTGGGCCGATTTTACCATCAGCTTTCTTAGCGGTCAGAAAGGACCGTCCACCATTCCCTCTGACTCATCTGCTTTCTTTTCCACGTGGCAGGAGAAGAAAAGAGTTTTCAGTCACATCACATGTCTCTGTGTCAGCAATTCAATTGTTCCCTTAGCAACCACCGCTTTTACTGCGGGCTCTCTGAGATAGGCTGCCCTCTCAAAGAGCTTAGATCACAAAACAGCTTGGTCCGTGCCAGAAGCTGCTTCCTAAAAAGGCCAGTATCCTTTCAAGAGCAAATTATTTTTAAACAATATTCAAAGGGAACCCAGCATTTTTAGGCAAAGGTGACAATGGGGACCACAGTGGGGAGGGACGCCTCTGAGGTGCGCCAGGCTTCACTGAGATGCGCGTTCACTGCTCCCCTCCTTTCCCGTGGACGTTATGGGTCACAGGGGAAATCAGGGGAAGAGGGGAGGGGAAGGGCATAATGCAAAGGCGGCAGTTCTTCTGCACATGGAGGGGTTGAGGCATTATCTGTGCACATGAAGCATACAGATTTACCATTTTCTCATCTGATTGTCTGCCGAGCATTCTGCCCTTCACAGAACAGCCATCCCTCCGTACTCAGCTGAGAATTCATCCTGGGAGTCCCTTCTCCCAGATATCAAGATGTGACTGCTAAGTCCTTTTCTTAAAATAGCACAGTTTACAGAGAACCTATGCAAATCTCCTGTCTGATTTAAATCAGCTCTAGATTGCAGACAATGCCTTAAACAACGTAAATGTGGCACAAAGACTCCCTGTCCTGTATTGTTTAGGAAATGCTAAAAAGAAAAAAAGCTTGTCCTGTGTTCAGCACATCCACATCTCTTTAAATTTCCAGATATTTCCAGTCTGCAGCTGGGTGGATCTGCATATGGAGAACCCACAGATGTGGGGGTCAACTATCCTTTTATATCTGCTGAAGCATAGTTTCCTTTATTATTCCACAACCATATTTTTCCAAGAGGATTTGTAACTCCTTTCTTTAGACAAAAAAAAAAAGATGTAGATTTTATGTTTCCCACTATCTGAGAAGCCAGGACATCTCACAGTGTAGGGACCGTGTGAAAGCTCCCAATGAAACGTTTCCAAACACAGGGAGAAAGCTTTGGTGTTTATAATAATCCCACTTCCCCATCCGTCTCTAGGAATTAAATCTCTCAGTAACAGCTTGATAGCTGCTTTTGATAGGAACGATGAAGCGTTTTAATTATTGTTCGAGGACCTGGTGCTTTTCAGTGTGTCAGAGCATCACTCCAGATGATTGAGATCTGATGTCTGTACTGAATCTCAGCTTAATCTGAACTCTGTGGGCTAGGGGTCAGGAGTCACTTATAAGACATTGATGCCTGCTTTATTTCATCAAAAAATATGTATTTAGAAACTCTTTTGATTTCAACCTTAACTTTAAATCAACTCTGTTCCTAGTTCAGTTAAGAGTTCCTTGAGATTATCGCAAATTAAGAAAATGACCACATTAAATTAAAAAAAAAAATGTCATAGTGGCACCTTTAATCCTAGCAACCGGGAAGCAGAGGCAGGTGGATCTCTGTAAATTCAGGGCCAGCCTGGTTTACATAGAAAGTTTCAGGACAGCCAGGGCTACATAGAAAGAACTTGTCTCAAAAAACAAACAAACAAACAAAAAAGGGTTATTCAAGAACTATTGACTCAGTGGGCTTGTATTCTATAAGATTCAAGAAAGCTGGTGTGTAAGGACTGTCCCCAGATTAACCCTTCAAGGTATTTCAGAGGACTGTATTTGAGGTCAGTCAACCCCTTGGGCCTTCCCAGCCCTGCATTAACAAGAATGAAACTTTCGAAATGAAGCCCTCTTCGTGACAGAGGCACAGAGCCCAGGTGTGACCACAACCTAATTTTCCCCACGCACAGAGGGATGGAGGTAATTACACCTTGGTTCAGAAGGGGTAAAAGGAGCCCTAACAACCTGACTTTTTCTTTTGGGAACATACAGTACTTCCTATTATGACACAGGAATGCGTGTCTGCCTAACTCTTTCATTCTTAGCAGGACTCGTTGCTTGTAGGTGATTGCTGGCACACTCGTGGTCCAACTAAGCTGCTAGGCAGTGACTTTCTCTCCTTCACATCTCTCAGCACATTTCTTTATCCGCAAAGCGGTGGGATTTTCATTGTCCAAGGCCCTCCAAAGGCTACGATCTATTTGATCAACTTCTTGCTGTCTCTGTAACTCTTGTTTTCAGCTTGCTTGCCCCGGCTGCTCACATTTTCCTGGGTTCCTTCTCTCTCTGGGAATCCAGCAGCTCTCACATCCAGCAGTCATATACTCTACCTCACATTGTTCTTTCTTCTCACCACTATCAAAGTCATAGACAGAGGCTAAGAGACTTTGAAAACAAATCTATATACTGGCCCATACATGGTAAAGAATGCATATGTAAGAGAATGTGTTCTGGGAAAGACTGAAAGGTCTGAGGGGCAGACTTTCCTGCCCCGAGTCTCACCAAGGGGCTCTACCAGCAGGAAATGACCTGGTGCACATCCAGGTGTCATGTTTCTAGCTGTGGAAGCCTTGCCTGCCACCAGCCGCACTTCCTAGGTTATCCAATACTCAGCTGAGTGCCCCTTAATTATCAGCAACTTTTATACAGAGTTACAAAGCAATTCAGCAAACTACAAATCCCCCTCCCATTCCAGTCACACGTACATCCCCAGCCCCATCCCTACAAACACTGAGTCTTCCCTTCAGCCCACAGCCCAGGTAGACTCAAGGTGGAAAAGGGTTTGAAGCCTTGCTCAGGATTTGGAGAGTAGAGCTGCTCAGCCTCACCCTGCAGAAGCTGAGGGCTGGGGGAAGTGGAGGTTTCTTTGTCTGGATCTTAATCAGCTGTGTTCCATCAGCCTCTTTCCAAATAACCATTTAGAGACTTAGTACTAATTATAAATGTTTGGCCAATAGCTCAGGCTTATGACTAACTAGCTCTGCAGAAGCCTGCAGACACCCTGCAGAAACCAAAGGCTGGTGATACCCCACACAAGCAGAGGACTGGTAATATGCCATATAAGCATAGGACTGGTGATACCTCACATAAGCAGAGGGCTGGTGACACTTCACATAAGCAGAGGGCTGGTAATACACCATCTAAGCAGAGGGCTGATGACATCCCACACAAGCAGAGGGCTGGTGACAAGGGACAGATGGCAGGATGTGGTGGATCAACAGCCCCACTGTCCAACAGTGAAGGGCTCATAGAAGACATACCTTCCTGTTTTGGAGAGTGGGGCCTCATGTGTCTGAGATGTCAGCAGCATTGGCACTACCACACCCATGACACCTGTTCAGAGCCTCCCTCTCTCCTGAATCACTGCAGTAGCTCCTGGCTGAAATTCAGGCTTCCCCTTGCCTCCCACATCCCTCAGATTGCTCTGTGACAGCCAAGGGATCCTTTTAAATGTAATGGATTCAGATGTAAAACTTCTCAATTCTGCAGTGGCTTTCTGTATGAGTCCAGGTAAAAGGCAAAGCGGGCTGGACACAACCTCCTCCCCTGCTTCCCCTCTGGTCACTTTTCTCTAGTTCCTGGGCCTTCACTAGGTCCTCTAGGATGTAAGTTCTTGGAAATCTGGGTGCTTTCTGCTCCCTTAATTGAACAAGGTCCTGGAGGTCGCTTACTCTGAGAACTCATGAAGTCCAGTTCAAAACAACAGCCTGGAGTCCAGATGGGGCCAAACCTGGAGAGCTCTCGCTAGCTTGTTGGTCTCTAGGTAGAACTCTGATTCCTTCTCCCTCTACGTCCTGGCTTTCCTGCTTCTCTGGATGACAAAATGTTTTCTGACCACACTATAGCTTGAACTCATTTATTCAGTTACGCGTTTTTCTGTGTAGAATGCACCAGGCAATAGTCTAGGTGTTTGCATCCGTGAACAAAGTGGAGAGACGTGGAGAGACCCGCCTTCCTGGAGCTGGAAAGAGAGGGGAGAGCCTGTAGACATCACGAGTAAGCACATGTGACATATAGACGACCAGGGTTTGGGGGAAAGAGGGGAGTAGGAGAAAGAGAGATTGGAAACGTGGGGACAGGGGAGTACCATGGTAAACAAAGGCCAGTGTTGACTCTAGTGATGAGAAATCTGAGAAAAGATGTCCAGTTGCCACAGGCATAGACTCCACTCAGCATCCCACTTCTAAATCCATGCAGGAGAAATCTGATGGGTCCAGGTTGTCCCAGGTGTTTTCCCTCGGGCCTGCCACTAGTTATTAGGGCAGGCTATGGACATACAAAATTAACATGACTGCTCCAAGCCCAGCCCTGCAGGTGGACTGGGAAGGCCAAGGCCAGTCCCAAAGAAGAAATGGGAAATACCTGACCAAGACTGGTTTTGCCACTAGTGTCTGTGAAGGTTGATAATTGGTTTTGTTTTAATTTATGTCATATTCCAAGTGATCAGTGCTCACCTAGCACCCTTAGACAGACAGACAGATGCGTGCACGTGCACACACACACACACACACACACACACACCAGGCCAGGTTCATGGGAAGGTGTGCTGCTAATTCCTGCTGAATTGCAGAAGAGAGAAAACAGAGGTTGCAGTCTTCTGTATCAGGAAGAAACTTGCTGAACATGAATTGACTCATAATAAAATGATATCCTATATTCCAACTCAGGCTTGTTTGTGCCTGAGGTACTGTGGGGCGTTTACCCACCACCCCCACAGCTTCCCAGAGTTTTCTTGAGTGCAAGCAGCAGGAAATATTAGATAGAAGGATTTCTAGTGGAGAATCTTGTGGAGATAAACAGATAGAAAATAAAGGATAGCCTCGAGAGGGCCTGGAACCTATTCCAACGGGCCCCGACTGTCTCTGGCCCAGGGTTTTTATAGAGACGCCAAGGGGGTGGAGCAAAAGACCTCCTCCCC